GTTTTCAGCAACCTCCGATCAAACCCAAACCTTATGATTGCAGACGAGCCAGTCGGCATGGTAGTTAAATTTGTTTACCTGGTTAGTTGTATAGGTCTCGGTGAACTGGCTGGAAATGAGATTACTTCTCGAATCGGGAAGGCTAGCTCAACTTGTCAACCTCCGGTACCTATGACACTGACGTGACGTCTGTTTGTCCGTCAGAGTCAGAGTATACACTTTCGGTGCGATCCTTCATGTTTTCCACACGCAGTGTTTAACTATCAGTATCTCTGAAGTATTTGTCGGGTCTGGTTGGAGCGGATTAATAGCGTTAAGGTAGGCCAGATTGTCTTAGGAAGAAGGAATTCTCCCACGATAGATGAATTACGCTTCATAGGTATGCTGGTAAGGGCATATACTTCGCACACCAGAAGACCGTTTGCTTCGTAGAGGTCCTTTCGCCTAACCGTATGTCGCGTGAAAGTGACCGAGAGGTGAACAGTGTATAACCTGTGTCATGATTTTTGTCTTCCAGTTATTATATTCACTGTATATTCGTATGGAACCTTTGTATGTGCATTTTAGCTCATCCACGCTTTTAGACAAGTAAAATATTGTTTATCCTAGATAACCCGGACCCTTTTTAAACTCGTTCTTTGGCACATTTCAAACGTTTCAGTTTACTTGTCTAAGAATACGATGGATCCACAGCTACGACCTTGTTTTTTTTTGACGCCGACGCAAACTCCGCAGATGCAGCTAAACGCTGGAATAACTGGTTTCGTACCTTCGACATCTATCTGAAAACTGCCAAATCTTCTAAACCTAACAAACCTGAAACTCTGATCCACTTTCTGGATCCCCTGCTATACGATCACATTGCTGATTATGCAGACTATGAATCTGTGGTCAACACGTTGCGGAAATTACATGTCCGACCGGAAAATGTCGTATATGCACTCTGCTTGCTGAAGACCCACAAGCAAGAGAACGGACAGATTGATCAGCTTGTAGGATAACTGAAGTCACTAGCCAAAGACTGAGTTTAAATCAGTGTCTGCAACTGGATCTCGAGACGAGTGCGTGTGTGATGCTGTAATCAACGACCTGGTGTCTATGTCCATCCGCGCGAAACTTCTAGCACGCAGTGAACTCACTCTGGACCAAGCATATCAGTTTGCTAGATCCATCGAGTTGGCTCACAAACAGTCGCAGTCATATGTTAGTAGTGAACCTATATCCTTATCTGCGATTCCGCCCACTTCACATAATCTTGTTGATTTGACCACTGCTTCTGTAAAATCCGTTCAAACCCCTGCTGTTGCTATGGTAAACATACTCTTTCATGGTGCTCTCTCCGAGAAACCGTTTGCAATCTCTGTGGTAAACGCGGTCACTTCCACCGTGTGTGCGTTCAAAAAATAGCACCAGGTAGCATACAAATTGTACATCGAAGCCCACTTTATCGTCATGATTTGCTGCGGCAGCACCTACCTGCCTGGAACGTGCCATCACAACCGTCGAAGTCAATGGCATCACTTTCCGTGCTCTGCTCAGTACAGGAAGTTCTTTTAGTTTCTAAACGTCGTGGAACTACACAACTGGAAAACCTACCCAACTTTCCCAGTCGTCACAATGGAATCTACGTCACTATCCTGTCGGACGACAGGTTACGATAGTCCGACAGAGGTGCATCAAAGAATGAACTGAAGCCCTTTGTAGTGCCAAACCTCCGCACCGACGTTCTACTCGGGCACGATTTCCTGGGTTCATACGGCAAGATAAAAATTTCATTCGGCGGGGACCGTGATTCTTCCACCGTCTGCGGCCTAACGGCAGTAAACGTTGAATCACTATCACTTTTCGCCAACTTGTCTCCAGATTGCAAGCCTGTTGCCACCAAATCAAGACGGCATCATCCGAATGATGAAGAATTCATTCGCGCCGAAGTTGACGACTTATTGCAAAAAGGTATCATCGAGCCATCAACGTCTCTCCGGAGAGCGCAGGCTTTGGTTACTAAGATTCTCAATCACCAGCGGCAGCTGGTTGTTGACTACAGCTAAACTATCAACAAAGTGACTGAGGAAATCTTTCACTACGAAGTCTACAGTACATTGCACCTCTTGTCTGCTTACCTTCAAGTCTGCATCTCCGCATCCGACAAGCCTTTTCACAACATTCAAAGAATGGCCTGTTTCAGTTTCGTCACATATCCTTTGGTGTCACAACCGGTGTAGCGTGTTTTCAGTGAACTATTAACAATATCATTAAGTCTGAAAAGCTGAAAAGTATGCATGCCTAAATAGACAATGTGACTATTTGTGGCAACACCAAAGATTGTGATAAGATAATCGTTCAGCTGTAGCACACTTTTGGTGCCTAGCTGCCGTACCACCCGGAAGAGGCCTGAGGGATGGGATACTGCCACATTGCCCGAGCCTCGACAGGAGAAGTTTAGAGGCAGAGGTCGAGTTCGGACCAAGGATCTTCCGGTCAGTAAATTCGCGCTCTAACCACTAAGCCATCTCGCCCCAAGATAAAAGCGTTCAGCTGTAGCCCCCTCCCGGTGCCTAGCTGCCATGCCACCCGAAGGAAGCACGAGGGCTGGGATACTGCCAGGTTGCCTAAGCCTAGACAGGGGAAGTCGAGTGGCGGAGGTCGGATTCGAACCGCGGACCTTCAGGTTAGTAATCCGCGCTCTAACCACTTCGGCCATCTCGCCCCAACCTAAGATGAACATGACTTCAGTCTCTAATCGTTTTTGAGAGCTATGAGGAATTGTGAAATCACGCTCAACGACAACAAAACCGTCACTGGTTCAACAGTCATCCGTCTCGTAGGTTTCAAAGGGTGTCATAAGGCCCGACCCTGAACACATGGAACCTATCTGTCAGTACCTCCTCCACGTACTAACACGGAACTAGCGCGCCGTCGGTATGTTCGCACATTGAGCTCATTGGATAGATTCATTTTCTGACGCAGTGAACAAACTAGTAAAGAATAAAGCATTCCCTGTACCTGCCGACGTAGAATTAGCCTTCGAGAGTTTTAAAAACAACTAGAAAATGCTACGTTAATAGATTATAATGAACCTTTGGTTGTTGAAACGGATGCCTCCGATGCTGCTATAGCCGCATCTCTCAGTCAAAACCATCGACCAATGCCCTTTTTCTTGAGGGTGCTGAATTCGAGCGAGAGGAATCATTCTGCCATGGAGGAGGACCGCACTATCGTTGAATCCCTCAGGAAATGGTGGCACTATCTACTCGGAGGTCCCTTCAAATTGGTCACCGATCAGCGCTTAGTCACATTCATGTATGGCGGTGGACAGAAGGGTAAAGTGAAAAACAACAAAAGACAACACTGGAGGACTGAGTTGTCCGAGTACAAGTGTGATGTTATCTACCGATCTAGCAGAGGCAATCATGTCACGGGCACTGTCGCGCAACATATGTGCTTCCATGGAGAGTAACAATCAACCTAGAGAGCTCCACAGCTGCCTCTGCCATCCAGACATTACCCGTATAAGCCTGGCGTGGAATTCTCACAATGTCCCGGCTTTCTATTGGGAATCAGTACTCTCCACACGCTCTCCACAGCCTCCGATCACAGTTATGTATGGCCACTGACCGTACTCCACATGAATGTTTGTTTCAATACGCAAGTCGCTCAACAGTTGGAATATCGTTAGAATCTTGGTTGACCACCACTGGTCCAATTCTGCTGCAGCGAGGTGATAGGTCATCCAAGTATAAACCACTAGTAAAAGAAATCGACCTTCTGAACTGCAACCCTTACTATACACGTATTGCGAGAGGGAAGNCTGAACTGCAACCCTTACTATACACGTATTGCCCGTCGAGAGGGAAGAGTCGCTGCCTAGCCTTAGCGGTTCAGAATACAACTGATGACATTCTCAATGTATTTGAATCCAATAGGGACACCGAACACCCAGATATGACTGAAACAACCGGACGTCAGCCCGACAGCTTTCAAGCATCTGAGCCCTCTTCGGTACCGTCCTCCGAAGCCCTGTGCTGAATAAAAGTAACCAAGAGGTAGACAGTATATGACCTGGCCATGAAGTGTGAAACCACTGACCAGTAAACTTGGTTCCGGTCAACAACTGCCCACTCCCTGGATGGGAACTTCGGGACTCAACCCATCAATGGTTAATGACACCATCAGAAATGACCCAATCGCGCAGTCATGCATCAAATCTCTCAACTTCACTGCGTAGGTACTAAATTCCCGAACTAACTGAACATGTCATTGCTTCCAAAGCTTGGCTGTATGTCCCACACATTCCCACTCATCGGTGATCGAAAATGTAGCAGCTGTCAGCACTGTGCCCGTGGAACATGGTTTAAAGCTGATATTGTTTGCTTGATTGTCTGCAGCCCCATGCGTTCAACCAGACAACATGGAATCAAACTGACTTCAGGAAGCCCACTGGGATCAATTACTCACCATTTTGTGTAATGTTTGGAACCAGGCACTGGGATACTTCCCCCTGGAAGGCGCCGCGCACCAACAACATCTGAACTCTTTGTAATTTCTACACCCTTCTGCCATCGTCAGTGCTAACACATCTACCGGGGACGTTAAAAATCTCTAGAGCTTTCTCTATCACCTTGAATTATAAATGATACGTTGAGAGACTGCACGTTTGGAAGCATGACTTTGAACTTTGAAGATAAGAAGCGCATAACGAAAGATAGTATGATGGTGTTAGGTGATGATGATGATGATGATGGTGATGGTGATGGTGATGATGATAGTGGTAATCATGATGAACGAGGCTGTTTTGCTTGAGTTCTGTTCTTCATCTTCGAAATTAACCACGCCAGGTTTTGTTCATGCTCCTCCACCAAGTTATCTTCGTGGGTAACTATGCCTTAAAGCTACTCTTTAGTAGCGCTTTTGGTGATTTAGGAGCAACATTCAAAGCGATAATACTATTTCCTCCTTCATATCAAGTGTAAGTCGTCACGTCACATTCTTCTTTCATTTCAGACTCCTTGGTAGAGATCTTCGGGTTGTTGAATATCTTGGACATCTTGTCCGTTAATCTCGCCACCAGTTCTTTGATGAAATAAAGCTGAATGTGAGTTTATGCATTATGTTTTTAAAAATCAACATTGTTTTGGGTGCTTACCTAACCCCAGTGTTGCCTTCGTGTAGCTTTTTGGTGTTTTCAAATGCTCATTTTTGAGCTTCCAACTCTTCACATTCGGGGGCACTCAGATTATCTTCAAGCTCACACTCCGACGGGCCGAATAAAGCTTGGTTTCAAGTTACCAATTCTCAGAAATCCTCGGCGTCTCTTTGACTTTCTTTTGTACTAATAGGTTTCTATTTGTATGACACTTAAATGTGCATACTACGACTGTATGGTCTTCATGATGCTGGTGATTCCGCCGTGGCCATAGTTCGGGGCTGGGTATAATGGGATCAAATGATGATTTGCGTTAGACGCTTCTTCATGATCTACCTGTCACCGTTCGTCGTAGGACACGTTCGTAGTAAGAACCACTGATGAAAATTGCGACAGTATGTTCTCTGTAGTCTTTCAGGCTGAACAACCCGTTAGACTACACAACTCGATGTGAATAGCATCATAGAAGTTTTCGTTCGGTGCAGCTAATCACTTCGGTAAGTTGTGCACGTGTATGTGTCACCCTTTCCGAGATCGTCTAGTAGACAATTTACGGTCATTCCACAGACGTGATAGCTCCGTAATTACTGACAAGTGTGATTTAGAGACGAACGGGGCACATACAAAACTTCGTGTTTTTTTTGTAATTCAAGCACGTCCACTGCCTGTATACTGATGTTTTTTTTCAGCAGTGGATACAAAGCCGGAGTGGTGTGCCTCACTTACACGTTTAGGTGAATGATGACGTGTACTGTATCCGTATTTTAGACCACAGTGTAGAAAAACCCGATGAATACCCATAACTAGTTAATACGAGAATACATGAAGTCAGTCTTGCATAATCATGCTGTAAAAAGGTAAAACCTGTTTGGAGTCGCCGCAAAAATGCAATCCAGGTGATTTCACGTTTAGTGAAAAATCGTCACCGACCAGTGCTATACTAACAAAACTTTGAAATGCGATAAGCGTGGGACGGGGTAGAAGATCTGGTGACCACTGGGCCAATCGGCGTTTCCTTCCTGCCTTCTCTAAATCCACGGGAACTACCATAGTGTACGCCGTGTCACCCTTTTACGTTGAGAACAGCACTCTGAGCATGGGTTCTGTCCTGTCCAACTTACTGTCATCGATCAGAATGTCAAACGTAATGTTTGATTTTATCTCTCGTTTTGTTTCTATTGAATCCATTTCGTGGCACAACATATTTTCTGTATCCTCGTCAACGTTCCCTTTTTGTCAGGAGCAGTGCCACGACACGTGTGAAACGGCTTATCACCCGCTATTTTAATCAGCTTCTCCGAGGCTGTCAGAACTCTCGGTGCCAAAATCCAAATTGTGCATCATCAACCCAATTTCAACATTCCCGTTTGACGCCCAATCAGGCCGCTATTTTAGCAATACAGCTAACTACCAACCAAGCAGAACTGTGCTATCCAGATGAAGCAACGACTGACACTTGCTCCGAAAATATGCCGTTAAACACAGAGGACCATGATGTTACAGAGCAACATATTGATGCAACCGAATCACGTCAAGTGACAGCTCCTGATCACGCCACTTCCAGCACATCCAATCTCAGTTCTTCAGGTGCGCTTACTGCAGCTGTGGACGCTAGTTCACTGAGCAATGTAATTGAGGATGAAGAGTCTTCTCGAACCTCTTTTATGACTCCCGGTGAAGTAACGAGGCTCCTTATGTTTTTATTTGACGCAGCGGACAACGAAGACGTGGCTCAACCACGTTCATCTGATAATCAAACTGCGTTGACCGATGCAGAAGAAAACCAGTCTTCCCACTATTCGAGCCTGTTTTCTCCAAACTATGGATGCGGTGCGTTTCTTGGTACGCTAATGTTCCTATTTTTCAACGCTCTCTCATTTTACTTCATGTGATGCACTCGGCAGGTAGTACGGGCAAACACTCAAGGAACTAAATACTTTCTCATCATTGTCATTTTATCAAGTATAAAACAATAGTCTCCTTAGTGACAGCTGGGAAAAGCGGTCGAAGTTTTCCGATGGCAATTTTGTTGCGATTTCAGATTTTGACCTCTGTGTTAGTGGATGTCCCTTGAGTTGATAGCACTTATGAAGTTTGCGGAGTATAACTACTCTCTTGGACGGGACTGTGCACGTACTCGTGAACCTCGTACCAAAATGAGTTTCCATTCCATTTCACATGTCCATTGTGTACTAATCCTTTTGCCCTCGGTGGGTGGCAACTCCTAAAAGACGCCAATGCGGTGTATTTAGCCTTCAGAGGAAAGCCACAAGATTTATTTTGGAAGATAACAGTATAACACCGCTTTTGTATTCACTTCTCGTGTGGGATTACTCAAAGTTTATATCTGTGGAATTATGTCTCAGCCTATCACCACAACATGGCTACAACATAACGATGGTCTGCGAAGATGATTCTCCTTAAAATGACAGGCTGATAAAAACTAGAAGGATTTGTGTAGCTAATTTTCACTCATGATACTGCAGTTGATCAAAGTCTTTCCGCGCCTATACTGGGCTGTATTTGTGCATTGTGCCTCTTGATTGTGTAGGGAGATTTTAGGATTCTAATCGAGAGTGCGCATTTCACGAGACTCCATAGTCGCGACCCCCTGGCTCGTAGTATGAACACTTAACCTTTCGGCCACGAGCGGTGGATCAGAAGTGCGATCAACTCCGATTCAAACAGGATATGGCACCGCTCATCTTCTACTCACGAGATCCACATAACATAGTCACACGTGTTGAGTGGCTTCCCGAGCGGCGAAGTCTGAGATATAAGTTTGACTCATTGGATGAATTTTATTCTTCCTCTTTGTTATTTGTATTATGTTGGTAGTGTGAGATTTGAGAATTTTACTGGGAATTGTGCTCTGTGTGTGAAACCAGTCTATGTTGAAAAGCCGAGGGGTACAGTAGTTGTCGGCTTTTCAGCGTAGAGTGACTTCATTTGCAGGTCGTATTTCGTGTGTTTGTACCATCTTCAAACCAATCATCAATTTTGACATCAACTCGTTTCATTCGGAGTCGTAGACGATGGGGCAAAAATCTCAACGCTGTTTGCCATACTACATTTTCTAGTTACATTTCAATCTGACTTGATAACTACCACATCATTCGGCCACGTGGTCTATCACATAATTCTAGTGACCTGAGGGCTCATTTCAGAATATCATAGTGTGCAGTTAATGGATAACTATGGAGGGGGCCACACCGTGAATAATGAGTTGCGTTTGCTGTATCTGTTTCCAACAAAAGCTGTGGGGGGTTGGAACACATATGGCTGAGGTTTGAATTCGAGGCTCAGTCTATGTTAGTGTTGCGTTATCACCGAGGTCAACTACCGCTTGATATGTGAAATAGCAATCGCCTTTACCTTGGTCGTAAGTGGCGTTCGCTATAAATATTGTTTCATGACAAGAAATCCTTCGCTCCTTAGAGGCTTTCGCTCTTGGGCGGACAGCTGTACTGTACCAAAGTGCTCTTTGTGCAGTTGCACTTATATCCAAAAGCGACAAATACCATACCGTATTTTCGATGTTCTCATCTCGCCTACGTGATAATATGGCAACATCGAGGGCGATGTGATATTGTAGCATGAGTTTGGATGCACTCTTGCCTGAGACTTCAGGTGATCGTATTCCGCGCTTGATCGGAGATGTCACAGAGTATGATTGCGAACCCATGTCACCAGTTTTCGTGCTGTTGGTATTTATCCCGATTGCTTAGGTATTTAGAAGCATAGGCAGTGCACTCGGATCTTTGTGGCAGGGTTACATTTCCTCCTCTCTTCAATTTTGTTTTATCCACTAAGTGGCTTTCTTTGGCCAACCAGAGGACATTATTGTCCTGGTGCTGGTGCGAGTTACGTAGTTATTTATCTTGTGGCGACCAGAGGACCTTCATACTGCCTTCCGGTAGCAGCTGAGCAATCAGGTTTTTTTGCCATATCTATCAAGTTTATCATAACTTAATTTAACTGTTTGTCGGAGCTCGATGAATCACACAAACTAAGATTATTCATTTCTCTGGCTGTACTGCAACCTCACTTGGTCGCAATCGGATGTGTCTAACTAAAAAGCGTATCTAAAGTCGTATGTCACTATTGCTGCGTTTCCTGCTGCACGAAAACATACCAGGCGGATGGTCGCAGCATCTTGTTTTACCTGCCTTCCTTCCAACTGTGTATAAATCGCACTTAGCTGTATCAGCGTTGTGCCTGTAGTTGAAAACGCACTGTGAAGACTTCAGCTGCTCAACGCTAATAGGTATTACTACTAATCCGATTACTGCCACTCACGATTGCTAGACTGTCTAGCTTGGCATTCTAACTGCAGCAATCTGGACAACTTGGCGTGCAAAGTGAATGGCCTTCCATCTAGGTAGTTAAATGATCTAGCAGGGGTTTTCTTACTTCATGCTGACCTCGTATCCCTGTTGAGGATTGCGTTTTTGAGAGTGGCTTTTTGAGGAACTGTGACTGGTTTGTCGTGCACTGTCTGCTGCTCTAGACAATAGCGATCCGGATTGAACTAGGCTTTGAAACCAGATGCCACCTGTCTTGGTTGCGATGATACTTCTACTACTTAAAGATCATCTAGAATGCTGCTGGTAGTCCCATTCTGATTTTTCACTGCTGTGTATCACACATCCTTTTTGTCGGCATCGTACTTACCCTTCTTGCCGTTTTGCGGTTAAGGGCCCATGTATATTTCTGGCGTATTGTTTTCGGTGATGGTGATAACCTTATTCATTGATTCATTGATTTGTCATTTTACCGGTGTCTTATTTATGGGTCGATAACTATTAAATCATCTCAAGCAGAGCTGAATTGTGAGGTTGTGTATCGCGCACTGAAAGAATCGTACAGCTTGGTTACAGATGGTTTGATAATGAAATCCAGAACTTAAAATGCAGATAGACATTAATTCGCTAGAGTAACGACATAACTGGTTCCACCTAGTAGGTGTCAACGCAAGTCGGTGAACGGTAAAAGATAAGCTTCGATGACCTCACCGTTTCAACGGAAGCACCATCTAACTTTGAGCCTGCAGCAGTGGTTCTCAACCTGGAGGGAGAAATTCTCCTAAGAGAGTATATCGATGGTTCAGCGAGGGTCCTGTGTGTTCGTATCAAGTGACACATATCCTGAATTAAACTACCTACGACAGGTGTTTTCATTCCAAGAAATTGATCAAAAGGAAACGCACAGTTCACACAGAGGACCAACGCATTCGGACGACAGTAACTTCCAATTGGTACCACATGAATTCGAGAACTCGGGTGACATGTCACACATCCTTCCACTGATATACAACACATTAACTTTCAAACCATGTCTTTCTGTTTAACTGAGAGGCACACATGCTAGCATGTTATATCGTTCCACCACACCCTGTTGGAGTGCTCACGTTGAGAAGGGTTCCTGAAGTGTTTATAATATGTTCCTTGATGTACGTTAGCTTTCCATTCACCTTTTTTGCTGCTGCTGCTGGTGGTGGTGGAGGATAAGTTTGGACACTGCCTTGCTATGCTTCTTTTAACTGGTCTGTCGATTTGATCAACTTTTTGCATATCATGCGTCATACGCTTGGTAGCTGGTGCAGCCGAATCATTTTCAACATCTTTTCTACGTCTCCGGGTTCTGTTTTTTTTTCTGAAACACACTAACGGTTCATTAATTCTGTCGGAAATGCCTTTAAGTTTACCAAAAGTGCATAGTATACTTGTTTGCATGGTAACCGCTAGTGAGTACTGACTTTTCGACGGGATAGGGTGTGCCGCGCCCAGGACTATCAGATTTTGATAGTGTGTTCCTGTGCCACAATGGGATTGGGTAATTTACAGACTCTCACCTTACGGGTACTGTAGATAAGCTAAGGTCAAGGATTCAACCAGTTTGTCAAAGATGGTGGGTGTGGAAGCATAATGCGTCAGTGTTAAAATTCTGATGGTATCATTGACTACAAACCACGGTCATTTTACGTTCCAAATATTTCATTCGTAGCTCAACCTGGTCCGAGGTCGACGCCACTTAAGTATTCTGCCGTTAGAGATCTTGCGGACTCCTAAATCCAGTTCACCTAATTATCTCGATTGTTTAGATGCTGCTGCTTCGGGTGCTAACACAACTGCACGACCGTCATCCTCATCCCTCACGCCATTTCTAAGCAGCGCCAATCCAAGTTCAGACGCCTTGAAAAGTTTCCTGAACAACACTAATCCAAATAGCAATTTGGCTTCACTTGTGTCTTCACTGAACACAATACAAGAACGGGAATCCAGAACGCGTGGTCTAACTCTGGGCGAGTTGAAAGAGACCCTAGATATTGGCAAAGAACAGGGTGACTGGTCTCATCTGATTTCGCTCCTCAGTGCGGTGTTCAGTTCCTACGAAGCTCTATCTTCAAGTTTTTTAGCGGAATCTCAGAGGGTGGCAGATGATTCAGACCTTCTGGTACATCGAACCAATGCAAAAAAACCTCGGGAAGACACACGGACCCAAGATGTTATTCCCATGGACGTGTCAGTCTCCATTGGTGAGATAATAAGCGAAATGGATCAACATGCAGTGGGTAAACCAACTGCTGATAACCGTTGCGAAGGTTCTGTCGATCGTCAAGACAGTAAGTTCCTTTAGTTCACGATCTACTGATACTAGAAGTATTGCTTGGACTGCATTCTTTTTGGTGAATACAATAAGCTGATATGCACCGTACATTGTTGAGCGCCGCATTATTCCCAGTTAACTGCTAAAATAATGAACTCATGACTTAACTTCCCTGACAACGCTATGGCTATGTTCCCTTCTGGATTAAAGATTTTTATGATATAAACAAACTACGATTTATCATGAAGGAAACTACTCAAGGCTTCACAAAGCTCCTCCACTGTCGGTTTCACTTTGAGGCTCATTAGGTGGGCGCAGTCTCCACGTGTCTGTCAACCTTATGTTCTGTTTCAATTCAGTTTGTACGAAACTTGCCTACCTGGTATGCTCCAAGGAGGGCGAAACCGGTCGTTGTATGTCGAGGAGTTTTCAGCAACTTTGTGAGTAATTTCCCCCAATAAAATATATAATGTGATATCGCGAACGTGGTACCAGCTGAATCATGAGGCGCAGCGCATTCATTTGAAGCGTACCATAAACGAGATATTCATGGTGGTCGTTGGCTTGTTCGCTGAGCTGGGCAATTTCCTGAGCTACCAACATTTTCCTCTATAACGAAACGAGATATTCAGTTAGGATTCAGCTGAATCTGCTGTTGAAATCAAATAGATGTGCAAATGTACATATTTTTTGAAACGAAGACTATTTTGATAACAATTGACTCATTTTTCAGCCACTGTTGAATTAGTTGGGCGATTTGTCGAACCTTCCAGCACTTCTGTCGTCTAGGGTTTACATCCTGTCCAGCAAGCGACTTTTAAAAATTAAGGTTGACACTAAAATTGTTCGTTTTCTCTAGTTTCGTCATTGTGGAGTTTTCTAAAGTTGAATTGTCTTGATAGTGCAGCCTGATTTTCTAATAGAAGGCAGAATGATTCTGCTGACCTGCTTGTCTCACTGGGAAGATACAAAATACCGGCTTGAAATGATTTGTCATGCACGTGCCGTGCGACGTTCTCTGACTCGTGTTTCACCTATGTTACATCGAGTGGCGGCCGCTTACACGAAAAACTTTCGAAAGCCTATATTCAGAAGTGTTGTGAACTGAGGTGCCAATTCAGTGTGTTGTTTACAGGCGCTCCTTATGTAGCACCTTTGCCTGCAGTCTTTTTGGTATGTTCGCATCAATCGTTAAAGTCATCCAAGATTCTCGTCGTGTATCGTTCCTCATAATTATAATTTTTGTTGGTTCATCTTTATCTCAGCCAAAACTTCTCTTGTCGAGGATCTTCCTGTATCTGGGGATGCGGACACGGAATCAACTGCACCGCTACCGCCGGTCAGCATTCCGGACGTTAGGCTGGCTTGGTCGTTGATATCCAGTATACCTGAGCAGCAGAATGTGGTTGACGTACTTCTCCGAGCTGTGCGCCGGTTGGTTGTGGGTAGCCTATATCAACTCCTGGTTTCTCAAGCCCCGGATGGGTTGGGAGACATAGACCCTCCTCCAGTGGTGCGCAACACGCAACAAAGGTTATTAAACCTGTTTTGCATTCTGTATGAATGCCCGTTTGCCACAGATCCATTGCATTTCGATGTGAGTTCATGCTTTCATACTTTGCTTTTCATTTTTTTCACCGCGTCTTGCGCCACTACTTATACCTCGCACCTTAATTCCGAACATTCGGTTATCAGTCTTCCGTAAACTCAACTGTTCAACACAATGTTACGAAGGGTAGCAATACATCATCTCAAGGTCTGCCCATCGCATTCTAAGAAATCTTAGGCGATAATTGGGCTAACAGAACATCTTTGAATCGTGCTAAGGATTTCTTTGGGGACACATGTCAGCATATAGTTTCTGCTCGCAAGTGCTGAAGCGGGGTGACTATTGTCTCGAACTTAGTAAGCTACCTAACTTTGCTGTCATCAAAATAAGATTTGCATGGTGGAAGGACACATTGTAGGCTTTGAAACTTTTGGGCCCACAGGAGAACAGAAGCTTAAATAATCACCCGTCCGCAACATACAGATAACCAAATCCGCTTATTTTGACACGTTTTGTTAGCGCACTGGCGCTGACACTATGGCTTTGTTACTCAGTGCGTGAGCTTTAGGGGTATTTTCTTCCGGTATTCTTGTCCAGAAGCTCGCTGGATACCAATTTCTGCACAGATGGTTGGGACACACCTATTGAATTGTTCCAAAGCTGAGGAAAACCTAGGTTTCTTACCACAAGGTGACCATCGCCACGATAAAGTCTCACGACAAACGAACTCTGGGGGACGGAAGAGTGCCCATTTCGACACATTCCGGTTGACGATGGTTTGACAAGGGCGCGATGGAGGAAAGTCGCAACTTTCGAGGATGATGAGAACGAGATCCTAGTGGTGGAATACTAGTCGTAGTATACACTATGTAAATAGTTTTTCTTGTGTACTTTTGGTATGCATTTGATCGTGACTTGTGACCATGCGTAAGTTGTTGTTAATCCTTTTTTTTAAGGCATTCACCTTCGTTTTCCTGTTTGTGTAATGTGGTTATCTGATTTTCATCACTCCTCACAAAAGTAGCACACATAATGCTGTCCGGTCCGTTCGCACCGGAGCCAAATCTGAACACACACACACACACCAATCCTCACCGGATTGGCATACGGTGCCCGATTTGCTTGTTATGGATGACTGCAACGGTTCATGTCAGCTGAAGACGAGTAACTTTGCAACCAGCCTACCCTAATCCCTATGTTAAAACATAGATCGCTGTGTGTAAACCTGATGGAATGCGAACATTTGGGTGCACTCGCATCCCCTCAGCAGGGTCAAATGAGGGTTTATGTCTACTAGCTGAGTTGGAACATATGTACAGGCAAATATCACAGCAGCATGGCTCGTGAGCCGTGTCTAAGTTATATCATTATTTGGAGTTGATGACGAGCTATCACTCCTTTGATCGCCATGATGCTCCACGCTTCCATCAAAAACATTTGATAACATTGACGGACAACCAACCATAATCAATCTCAGCCAATCGATTTCCGTTTTCATTTAAGTGAAAAGAGTATTTAGAATATATCACCTACCTGCTTCAAATCTAGGATATGTTTTGATCCCATTTAGCGAACAGTATTTGGTCTGTTCTCTCACAATTGTCCTTCCTTTTATCGCCGTCTTTTTCGTCAGCATCTCTTGCTGAACATCAATCGGGCGGTGACCTGGTTGCCAATATCTCTACAAGCCCGTTTATGTCATATCTGGGCGGACACCGTTCGTTTACCCTTGGCTAACTGCACGACGCCTCCGGCCCCGGAACATACCAACCTATGGTCACTGCAAAGTATTTTACAACAAAATATCACTCTGCGCTGTCTAACTACTAGCCATGGCGTACCAAACGAAGACAAACAGCTATGTGAAGCTGCACTTGTACTTCGCATTGTCTACTATGCCAGTCTGTTAGCTGGTCAAATGGACAAGAAGGAGTTGCTCGAACGGGAAGCAGTGGAAAATCGCGATTTTGAGCTGCTGATGCGAGCTCACAGAAGCCACGAGGTAGTTCGTTTTCCCTCATTGATTTGTTTTGGAGCTTTTTCTCATTTGTGGCTTGTTGAAACTAGACTTCTAACTTAGACTGTCCGTTTTTAATGGGTTTGACTGTTTTCTGTGCCTAAGTAACCATGGGTCTTTTTTCGTATGCTTGTAAACGGTTGGTTTTTTCCATTACCCAATTTCGTGGTAACTGGCTGCGTCGGTTCACCTGTACAGTGAACTTTCCCGGGAAACTTCATAGTACTATTGTACGAATGCGTAATGGTGGGTCCGCTAGTAGATTTAGGAGTAGTTGGAGTGCTGCTTGGTTCAAACAAATCTCTAGGCTCATCGTGCCACTCTGAAGATAGCTGGACCGCTATCATCGACCTTTGGACTTTTGCTCGATTATCACAATATTGCATAGTGATACCGAGATGCCTCCACACACGTGGCACTCTTTCATGAGGCGGTTATCAGCGAGCTCGTCGTGTATCGGCCAACTGAAGGTAGATTTGCAGTGCCAACTACGTCACAACCCTTATACTATCCTTGATGGCAAGACGCAGCAATTACTATGTTTGATCGGTCATTATATTCACTATACGAGGGGCAATGCAGCGTACTACCGGATATGAATTTTCCGAACCACGTGAATAGTGGACGATGCTGTGCAGTTCTGTGATCCAACTTGAGTTGAATGCAGTCAATTATGGGAGAGGAAGCTCACAGTAGTTTTCGCTATTTGGGCTTTACGTCACTTATTTTGTACACACTTCCAAATAGTCTATGTACTCAAGGGAATGCCCTCGTGGAGTATTTCATTTGTTGCTAATACCGGCATCTTGTTAGTCTAGGATCACTGTAGTTCCGAAAGTTCCGAATACAACCTCACATTGCTAGTTAATCAGCTAGCCAGTCAGTCACTCAGGGGCAAGATTGACCAAGTGGTTAGAGCGCGAATTTACTGACTGGAAGGGCCGTGTTTCAAACCCGACCTCTGCTTCTCGACTTCCCCTGTCTAGGCTTGGGCAACCTGGCAGTATTCCAGCCCTCGTGCCTCCTTCGTGCGGCATGGCAGCTAGGCACCGAAAAGGTGCTACAGATGAACGATTTTTTTCAGTCACTCAGTCCGCTACGGTGAAACTGGAACCTACCGCGGTGTACAAAACAAACAACAAAGACAGCAACACCAGTGTTGGCACTGATGCTTCACTGCCGTAATGGCGTAATGGTTTGTGCACCTACATATCCCACTGACCTATACTGGGGACTGTACACGTAACACTCACAGATCCTCCCGTACGAGGTTGGTCAGTGGTTAACGGTCTGACCAACATGGTTTCCTGGCCTTCCAGGTTTGAGGTTGGAACATGTATAGCAACTTTTTCTATAAAAATGACAATGCATTTCCCGTCAAATACGGCTGCCTTCAAGCCTTTGAGTGAAGGCTTTGGTCGAGGACCCTAATTGTCCTGTCTAGTTTCGGGGATCGTTGCAGCATCCCAACCAACGTACAACCATGATGTGCACACTTACAAATAATCTCATACTCAATTGGCTCCTTTGGGTGGTCTTCTAGGGCCGGAATCGAGATGCATGGACAACGGTGAATGCCTGCTTCAGCTGTTTGCTGACTACGGAATGCTCCAATGCCGTACTAACTTCCGAAGCAACCGAAGCCGCTTGGCCACATATCGACTCAACCTTCGACACAGATAGACCACATAGCCACTAGCGATGGGTGACAGTCACTGAATGTCGCTCCTTTTGGATCACCTGAGTGGGTTCGGGTTACGCCCTTGTTTGCTGCTGCTTCTCATTAAGCTTTTTGAGGGCGCGCAAAATGCCCGCATCTCGTTTGTTTATTGGGAAACCCTCGGACTCTGATGTGAAGCAAGCCAACCAGAACCACGTGCTGAGGTCCCTTTCGGACAACACGTCTTCTGAACTGAACTCCTACCGCAGGATAGTGGGTGCTCCGCTTGTGCAGCGGGACAACCAAATAAACCTAGGCGCTGAATCTCGAGCAACACTCTAAAGTTCCTCGAAGCTCAGACTCGTCTTCCTGCTAATTCAGAGTACCATACCGCCCAACAAACTGTCAGACTTTAGCTGGAAAAGAGCATCTGCTCGAATAGAGACGCTTTGCGGGTTCAGAAGGCTGGCGAGGTGAAAGAGACGGGATACTCAGGGAGTGTGTGCAAACTATTCGAGCTGATTCCCATAATGCATCCAAAAAGCCTCCGGTGAACGAAGTATTCACTAATAACAACGGCTCGCTTATCTGTGGAAAAGAGGAGTACCTGGGTTGTTTGTCTGAACACTTTGGAGACCAATTCAACTGGCTACCTACACTCGTTCATCCGGATCCCAACACAACCCTGAACAGTGAAGTGGGAACCTCCAATGGATTAGGAAATTAACGAGTGTCTTTTGTCGTTCAAGCGTTATCGAGCTGCTAATCCTGTTCAAAGATGTAGGTGATTGTTGCACTTATTTGCCTCTATCTGGGAGTTAGAGGCCGTTCCAACTGACTGCGCTTAGTCGATGGTGGTGATCCTTTTCGCAGTATGGCCATCATAGAGGAACTAGCTTGACTCTCGTAACTAGACTCTTTACTTCCTCTTACGAAGGAGCTTCAATAGGCTACACTAGAACAGCAAGTAGAATTCCGGCCGAGTTAAGGCTGTGTGGACCACATCTTAACAATTCTTGAAATGTTAAAAGGACGAAATGCGTATTGGCTCTCTACAATCTTGGTTTTTTCAACATCAAGAGTGCGTCCGATTATTTTTACCGGAAGGTCTACAATACCCCGGTGTTCAAATCTGTCTAAGCGAGAGGCTTGTCTATCTGGAGCATGCAAACGACAGTTCTCATTTTGGAATAAGAGCAGGAAGTGCAAGTATTACTTGAAAAGCCGCCCAAGGTCTTCCAGTCTTTCAACATGTGCTTCGAGCCCACAAAGTGCAAAGTCATTCTGCAGGATCTGCAGTCTTTGAACATATTTGAGAATTCAATGTGTGACCCGCATATTTTGGAAGTTGAGTTAACTCAAACCGTAGTGTGACGCACGAAGTTACCTCACGAATCTCGAGGACCAGAACTTCGCTCCCCAATTGGCGCCACTTGTGGCGTCAAAAAGCATTTTAGTGGGTCTCAAGAGACACATGTATCAGGCCATCTTGTTGCACGCCTTCGAGACTTGGCCAATTCCAAACTCCAGGGCTGGTTTGCAGTTGATGGATCCCGGTTGGCGCTATGTGAGCACCTCTGCTGAAAATTTGTGCTGGTGGGAAAAATGGTGCTCAGCACATAACTGAAGCATTCGTCACCCATCATCTGTGCGAATTGGTTGTCAAGTTGAACTCCTGCCGGACTTAGTCGGTTCACCTGAGAACTCGTGTCACCTGCTAGAACCAAGATACCTGCGCTTCTTTCTGGCCTAAACAGCTTTGATAAATCCCCATTGATATCTTTTTCAGCCTCAGGTCTACCGTCTGCCGCAGCTTATGCTGATGCAAGAAATAAACACACTTTTTGCTTCGAGATATAGTAAGCTTAATTTACCTGATGAACCGAGCAGCACGAAGACGATGATTTACTGGACTCCAATCCAATGAAGTTCATCCGGCCCTGGGGCTAGGCATAACTTTCATACCGCGTATGCCACGATCCAGACACCCGAAGAGTAAAGTGGAAATAATTTGGTTTCGTCCCGAAGGGTTAGAAGTTTATGACCTAACTGCAGTCTCGTATGCATGTTTCCGGGGCACAAAATAAGTCGACCGAAAGAGCAATCGAAGTCCAATTCGACAGAGTACGGAGGTTGAAAACCACAATATGGAACTCAATATGGATTTGGTTTATTCTATCGACTAGGAGCTTAGATACGGATAAGCGGTTAATCTTAATCACCTTAATCACGAGAAGGATTTATTTGAAGAACATGTGAAGGGTGTTGCTCTCCGAGCCTCTTTCAGAATGTCGCAAACCGCGACGCGGACGACGTATGATTTGTCAGAAGGGTATGAAAAAGACATAAAGAGTTTGGGTATTGTTTTGTTGTACGCCTTCCAGGATGAGCTTCCCGTGACCTCTCCTGCGTTTGGCTGAGGACATTACAAGAAACGGTGGGTAATCGATGTCAGTGGTGTTCGTGCTGTCAGTTTCTTTCCATGTTGTCTGATTGGGCATTTGGAGGTGTAGGCTCCTCAGAATGCCTGACATGGGCCAGCACTAGGTTCCCTCCCTCACCCATTCTTTTTCTCTCCTTTTCACTCTAGGGCTTTGAACACAGTCAGATGGAACTTATGGTTGTATGGCAGTGGACCATCAATGTCAACACTGATGTTGCTGTCTTTGATAATGGTGGTGATGCATGTGAGGAGAAGCCGATAAATGATGGGCTTTAAAGGCGAAGGTCACTTCCCGGTTACTTAGGCGGAAGAAGATATTTAGTTGAGGCACTTCATCTTTAGCTTCGAATTACAAGTCTAACCCCCATGGTAGGGGGAAGATTCAGTGTATTGTCTACAACCGTGGGATCCGATTTGGCTGGTTTGACTTTTATTCCAGCAAAAACACTTATCCGGCGTTTTTAGAAGATGATTTCCATAAAAATAACCAGTCCTCCAAGAAGTTAATTCTTCACTTATTGAATCATTCCCATGGTACTTGCTTCATGTAGTTTTTACCTTGAACCGAATTCCAGGGAGTTCAAAAAGAACTACTGCACCATGTTTCATTAGTTCATTTTATATTGGAACAGCCTTATTCGGTTTTGTATTGCGACATTTTTTCCTTGAATTACATGATATCAGTGTTTTGTTTTCTATGTCCCCCTAGCCACGCGTCGGTCGTTCACGAAATGGCACAGTTGAGGATCCGTTGGCCAAAGCCTTGTCTCTATCTCCCAATGACTGCCGTCATCCGTTTATTCCTGCCAAAGACTTTATCAACGAAACTCTAAATGAACATTTGAAGGTATGTTACCCGGCTTTCCGGAAGATTTTAAAGCCAGGTTGGCGTGTTCACTGAGAATAACCGTGACAATAAGGATGACGCGTTAGGTAATCATAACTGGGGTTGAGGACCTCCACTGGTAAGGTCGCGTAAAATATTCTCTCACGAGCAAAACACACAAAAGTGGGTTGTACGGGAAAATTCGAGGAAAACTCTGTATGATTTTACGGTACTATTTGGGTGTCTGACGTTCCGCCACTCAGCAAAAATGTTTCTGACTTCTTATTTGCTGTCATCGAGCAAGGGTAAACGCGATGCTCCGGGACTAATCTTCGAATCTTTTTTATGCGATCGTACGGCACCTATCATTGGTTTGTTTGCAAAACTAACTCTGATTGTCAGGTTGTTGCCTATCTGTACGGTGTCCTCTGCAAGACTAGCCGTGTATCCGCGTTCTGTCCAATAGATGGTATTAGAGCTGTCAGGATGTCACAAGGCAAATATCCGTTTATCTTATAAAAATGCGAATCTAGGTTGTGCACTGGCGAAGTTAAAAAAATGTTGCATGGTGAAGTTAACTTTCAACAGTATGAAGATTTCAAAACAACCACTTAGATACTTGATTCAGCTTGCTTTCATTTTTTGTGCTTTGCTGCGAAAGATGAGGAAAAATTAAACGCACGTTGCTCTAAAATACAAGGTCGCCTATATTGGGAGATTGTCATTGAAGCAGCTCCCATCTTAGCATGACCGTATGGCTGAGACGCCGGCGTAACAGAAGTTTTCCCTCCCGGTGGCAATAAAAAGCGATGATTATTCTTTTCATCATAATTCCGGTGGTTTGAAACTAAGTGAACATGGAGGGACAGGCAGAACTCGTTTTGCTACAAGTATGTGTTCAGAATGAGCCAACTGAGCTGAAGGCGCAAGTGCTGTGCGTAAAATCAGCTACCACAGTTGGGCGCGGACAAACGTCAAGAATTCAATATAGTCATCTCTCCAATGAATGGCTACTCTTGAGGGACGTAAAGTGCAGTTGTCTGGGGGGGGGTCTCCTTCACATGAAGGAACTAATGTACTGAGCATTCAACTTGCGCTTTCTCACCTACTGTTGTGTTCGTGCTGGTTCAGTCACCCATTCAGTCACAGGCAAATAGTGTCACGTCTACTCATCTGTGCTTCCCAACGAAAACCGTGCGGATATTGATCTCTTCACAACACTCAATCATCTCGTTAATACAGCATTATTGATGTTAATTCTTCTACTTGAAACGACACACCTGTGGATTTTGATTAGATTTTTCGTTTTGATCGCGTTTTGAGCTCGTGTTTCACCATTTTTCATTCATGAAGTCCTCAACCGATTCGGTTCCTTGACCCACCTAAACACACACCTTATTTTCCAACGAAGCGGAAATCTTGCGTTTGATAGAATTTTCGAAAATGCTGCAATTCTTAGTTGTTTCTTGGCCTAGTCCGTACAACGGGATTTGTAATAAAATTGAGCTACCAGATTAATCAGGATGGTGGCGTTTTGGTCCTGTGATAACCGGAGAAAAACGTAACTGAATGGACGCGCAACCAGTCGTTGTGAATTCATTTGATTTGTCCCAGTCAGGGCATCCCGCAATTATTAGCACCTCGTGTACCTTAGTCTGGAGCAATCATCCGCCTAAGTTTGACTAAGTAATTGTTGTAATGGCAGGGAGAGAAAAATATGCAAACCACTTTATTTGTTGAGATGCCTCAGTGGTTAGAGCGCGAGTTTACTGACCGGTAGGTCCGTGGTTCTAACCCAACCTTTTCATCTCGACTGATTCTGTCTAGGCTTGGGCAGAAAGGCAGTACCTCAGCACTCATGCTTCCTTCGGGTGGCATGGTAGGTAGACACCTGAATGAATGATTCTTTGTCTTCCGAATCCTAATTCCTTCCGAAAATTCTCGTTGTGAATAGGTCGAACTGCAATGCGATGCGAGTGTCGGGGTAACCTGGCTTTCACACAACCACAGATAATAGGCGGTGGTTGGTATCATCTTGAGAGATGCTGGGTGTCCAAACAAGTGGTAACACTCGTTGGCGGCTTTTGATATTTACGCATGGATGACCATGTATATGCATGTTTGCGTCCATATAGTGGGACTGTCAAGTCACCCAGTCACTTTAGTTGTCAATGAAATTTGCACCTTAGTGAAACCAGTTCTTCCCGTTCCTTTTCGAGTTGTTACCATCTAGCTTGAAGCAGGGGCCGAATCACTTAAGATCCAACTGTTCGTCGTTCCTCTGCGTACTATAGCCTTAGAGTCATCCCACTTTATAAATATGTATATACATACATATTCTAGCTTATTACTTAAAGTTTAACGTTTTGTTTGATTTTCTTAGAATACAGTACATCCCCTGCTACATACAGCAGGATGGGTAAGCGGAAACAGGCTACTTGTGATGCCTCCCTTCTTTCCCCCTTTCCCATTAGTATCCCTCTCCTTGTAGGTCCACCAGTTGGGACTGATGACTCCGTTTGTCTTCTGTCGGTTTTGGCAGAAACAGATGCGCGTCAACAGACGCTGACATCCTCAGGTAGCCTGAAATCAATCTTCAAGTCTCTACCTGAGGTGAAACCATTGGCGGTGAGCGTGGAACCCTCTAAGGCCTCAAAGGTTTATGGCTGCATATGTGCACTGAAGCGTGGCGGAGATCCTGGTCCGGGTGACCTCTCACCTGCATGGTTCAAAGGTGGGGAGGATGTCCTCAGGCGGCGCTTGTCTGGGCTGCTTGCGTGCATTTTGTAAAAGAAGACTGTCCCAGACGATTGGGGGCAATCCGTGGTGGGGCCCATTTTCAAAAAGGGGCTCTTAGTGAGTGCGGTGGTCACAGGGGAATCGGCTTGATTCCGGTCTTAACGAAACTCGGGGTGTCACTCTTTGGTCGCCTTACGGTGACTCGTCAAGTAGTGACTGGAGAACAGTAGGCGGGATTACGGCCTGGAAAGAGATGCACTGACCAAATCTTCCAACGCTATGCGTATAAATGATCCACATTCCTGGATTTTCAATGCGCGTTCGAACCAGCTGACCCTTGTGTTCTTAACAGTTATTCAGGAATGAATGTCCCAGAAGTGTGTCAACATCATGTGTTCTTAGTACTCGCAGAGTTACGGGTGTATGATAGTATTCGGGGAGCTCTTCAAAAGCCTTAAGCAAAGTGATGTCCGAATAGGATCCCGACTCCGTTTTTGTTAACTTTCGTGACTGACGGGCTAATGGGATGAACACTGGTAACCTTCAAAACCCTGATGTTCGAAACAGCTGCTGACAGAAACCTTGTCGATGTGAATTATGCAGATGACTTCGTCCTCGTCTTCGAACAGAATGTACGGGAGTTTTTGGATGGCTCAGGGGCGAGATGGCTCAAGTGGTTAGAGCGCGAATTTACTGACCGGAAGGTCCGTGTTTCGAACCCGACCTCTGCCTCTCGACTTCCCCTATCTAGGCTTGGGCAACCTGATAGTATCCCAGCCCTCGTGCAACCTTCGGGTGGCATGGCAGTTAGGCGCCGGAAGGGTGCCACAGCTGAACGAGTTTTTGGATGAACAGACCAAAGTCATTCAGCCCTGCTGGACGCTCGGTTGGTGAACACGAAGGAGACACTTGAAGTTGTGGAGTGTTCTACGTATCATGGATTTTAGTGTGACGGGCGAAGTTAATGCAGGAATCTGCAAGGCTGTGGTCGCGTTTGTTTATTTGAGACACGTGGCTTCAAAGCGACATATCCTTGAATCTCAAGGACATTGTGAATGAGGCTACAGTACGGGCTGTTTTGTTTTATGGTTGACACTACCTTTTCGTGAAGCGGAACTGTATCGTCTTCAGCTCTTGGACAATCGTTGTATCAGAACCGTCGATCACGTAGGCTGGTGCTTGCGAGTCTGCAGCGACAAGGTGAGAAGTCGGGTATTTGGTTGTGCAACAGGTTGTTGTGGTTGCGATAGAACGTGAAACTTCAATCGAAGAATGTGTCCAGCGATGGAAGTTGTCGTAGTCCGGTTATGTTTTGCACAGGCTGCTTCATCGTTTTACCTGAAGAGTGCTTTTTTCCGTATTCGAATCCGAGTGACCGAAGTAGAGCAGTTGTTAGCCTTTGATCTGGCATTTACAAGTCTAGATACTGTCAATGTGACTGGCCTTCCAGCACGGGGCCCATGCGATGTTCTCTGGGCTTGTTTAGAAACGCTAGAAGATATGGTTATTAATCTATGTCATCGGGGTTGTGGTTGTCTGGTTCTTTTTTCACATTTTTTCAGTTTTAGGTTGCATCTGAAACATAGTTCTGAAACCCAACGCGGTCTACTTTTTGTCGTTAGGTTCACATCAGCCAAACTAATGGCTGAGCCGACCTCATAACATTTTCTCTAAATACACCAGTTGAATTTTTTTCAGCCGTTCTGGTTGCCGCTGTTGCATTCCCCCTGTACACCTCTTCCGAACGTTGACGAACACAACCCACTATACGTTAGCGCCCACACTAATGTTACGCATGAAGCCGTCACTGTGGTGTTTTGTTTATTTTCTGCTGTTCCGTTCTAACATGATTTGCTGCAATTACTGCGATCGAAACTCACCGTCACAGTTACGCGGTTTAGGTTTTGTCACAGAGCAACGAGATCCTTCTGAAGTAAGCATCGTGAATCTATTCGATTGTACGCCGACTGAACGCTGCGCCAATCAAGCACTTTGGATCTAAGCATGGATCCACGGTCGAATCATACGTGAAGCCAGCGGTGCTTGTCCCCTTATTCCGTCGGAGTGTGTACAGTGCTGAACAACTTCGTCCACTTTCACTCACCACTTTTGGTAGAACACATATTGATACTGTATTGTATCGTTGTCACGACCTCAACTGGAACTTAGGCTCCAAAACAGTTTCGACCAGATTTGTACCCGGTGATCTGCACAGTCAGTGAACCATAGCAGACAGGTCGTAGTAGATCCGCGGTACAATCCACATTAGCTTGTATAGTTCTATGGTGGGCATGTCAAATGACATGCAGTGTGATCGCCAACGTTTACCCTGACTGACAGAATCGCTCGCTTTGACCACTAGGTTATTTCGTGTTCGATTGTTGAAGTAGTTGATGCATTTTTGAAGTGAAATAACGCATTTTCCATAGGTATTATGCGTCGGGCAAAGGACGCATAAGTGACCAACTTCACGCTTAGCGGCCTTTTTCTAACCCATAATCAAGCATGCACAAACAGCTGTAAAGACCAATTTTTTTAAAATTTCTGTACACATATGTATTCAAGAAATTCATAGTCGCTGTTGGTTCAGGTGAAAACCTAAGGGTAAATGGAGATAGACTACTTTTACTCTTGGCTTTCGCCTTTTCTTGGTTAGGCTAAACGTGACTACGTGAACTACCGTTCCAAGGACACTTTCGGTGAGCTCAGTTTCATGCGATTGCCGTTCCTCCTGCAAACCGGTTCAAAATCTGTGCTTCTTTACTATGACAACCGGATGCGTATGCTGGATGAGCAGCGCGGCGCCTTTCTACAATCGCTTTTCGTGGACAATCCGGAACTACCTTATCTGAAGATACATGTTTCCCGTGAGCAGATTGTCGAAGGAGCACTGTTGGCGGTAAGTCCGATTTAATATGGTTTTGCCTGAGTATCAGAGCTGTCTCCTCGAAGGAGTAATCGTTTGCTCTCACTTAACGAAACTGTAAACCTTCAGATTTTTTTTCGCAGTTCTCTACGGCTCTGGACTATCAGCAGTGGTTTTCTGCAAGTTGTCTCTTTCACTGTGTGATTGTTTCTTTTCTAACGATTTACTGTTTGCGATCGGGAATGTTTTGGTACTGCCAGTTTGACTTTTTTCCCAGGGTAGGGCCCTCATCGCCGCCGTCCTAGATACTTTATGAGATGTGGCTACTAATCGACCTCAGTGACTCACTTTTGTCGGTTTCTGTTCGGATTGTATGAAGTGTTCACATGTCGGAATGGTAGTAGTAGGCAACAACTAGTTATCTTCCCACTCCCCTTTATTCCTCTGCTTTGAGGCAGACTTGCCAGAAGAGATTGGTCCCAGGTCAGAGAATTGTTGGTGTTGGATGTTGACGCCGACGGTTGGTTCAAAGCTGGGTTTCTGAGCTTAGGATTATATTTGTCTACTTCTACCGGGCGTACGGACACCTGAGGGAAACATTTTGGGTTCGTAGCCCAACGCGATATGGCAATGAGGCTATCCATCCGATCAGTTTTTCGGTTTCTGATTCACACAAATATCGTAGTTGGTTAATAACAAACCTCTACTGTTTTCCTTTTACTAGATAATATTATGTTTTTCAGTGCTGTTGTTGAGCTACAATTTCTGCTCACTATTTGCGGCGGAATGCTCACGCCACCACTTTGAGCTTGAGCCACAAACGCCGCGACCCATGGCGAACATTTGTGAATTCACCCACTTATTTCTAGGGTCAGTCCGTTCATCAAAGGTGAAGAAACTTATATAGTTGTCCACATAGTTTCTCAATTTAACCGCTCCCTGATGGTTAGCTACGATGGCAGAAGCCGAACATGTGAGAATCGAAGAGCTACATAGTTTAGGTTTTATCGATGCCGCACTCTCCCTGTTCATCTGTTGCCTTACGTCAGTCCCAAATTGTTCTCTAAATACTTTCGTTTGTTATATTCAGTCACCAAACTACAGCATCTGTTGTGCATCCTTCTCACGTACTAATCGTTGCGTTGCGTTGCGTTGCGTTCTTTGTATCACCCATTTTGCGTTATGTTCCATTTCCCGTCTAGTTGGAGATTACCTGCTCCGAGAATCCTGGGGATCTAAAGAAACAACTTCGGGTGGAATTCGAAGGGGAACAGGGAGTGGATGAAGGCGGTTTGAGCAGAGAGTTTTTTCAGCTGATTATTGAAAAAGTTTTCGATCCGGTGTACGGTAAGCTGCCTTTGTTTTTTTTCCACCCGTTAAGGCTCCTCACAAGTTCATCTGCTTTTACCTTTCCATAGCACCGTTGTTTCCGCTGTCTCCGTCTCACCGTTAATCGGAATTGTTCTATGCATTGTACTGGACTTGTGCTCAGCGACACTACCGCCATGTTACCTAGTTACCATGGTACAGGCTAGATTAACTGTTCAATCCTGCTGACAATATACCATGATTTCTGGTCGGTATACTTCGTCCGTGTTGCCCCACTTAATGGGCTTGTCAACTCATGTCTCTTACGAATTAATTTTGTCGTGAAGAATCGCACTTATGATTTGTTAATTGCCGTTGATACCAAGTTGTCATTTCGGTTCTGCCTTGGTAACAAGTGTGTATTCGGATTTGTTTAAATGTCACATTTAGCAAGACTTCTGGTGATCGTACGAGTGAGTAGTAGGACTGGAACCCCGCCTTCGTGACTGCGTTCCAAAAGTCTGCTTCATTCCTGGTGACGAAAGCTCACGGACATTCCCTTTGCGGTCTAGTTTGTTTAGTTCTCTCAGTTGTCCTTCTGTCCAGTTCCCTTAGTCAAATTACATCTCTTGTTTCATCTGTGTGATGTTTAATATACCCATTATTTTCAAGTAAGACCAGAAAATAGTATGCCAGTTTGTCGTTCCAATGCTCCTGCACTTGGCACTGTTTTGCCTAGGGAACCACTACTCGTTTTGATGCTTATGCAGTCACCATCGTTCGTTTGCTGTATGCTGTGCGGGTTGTTTTCGTCCTTCACACGCTTGATACACAAATGCCTTGTGTGCCAAACTCGGCTGTTTAGGATGGTGAGCGAATCTCCCGACATCTAATTGATTGGTACAACCCAATCGGGTAACCCGTGCAACATTTCGTATAAGTCATATTGAGGCGCAAATCGGGAATGACCGACCACCGGCAGGTAGTCTCTTCACACATTGGCTACTTGACTGCTCTCAAGTATTAGGTTCTGCGTGGTCTGAACGAGGAAATATTTTGAGGAGATTATGGCTCCATCTATTCCCTACTCGTCAACCCATTTGGGGTCACCAAATTTTCAGACATAACGTTGCTAGTGAGTGAAAATGCTGCTGCCTACTTCCTCATACTTTACGGATTCTGTTTCAATGTCATCTTATCTAACAGCGTTTCATATTGTCTTCTTCCGTTCAAGGTATGTTCGTGGCTAACGACGAATTGGGAACCTACTGGTTCAATCCGGTCCCACTGGATGACCTGGATCGTGAATATTTCCTTATTGGCACCTTGCTCGGTCTTGCCATCTACAACGACATCATTTTGAACGTTTGTTTCCCATCTGTGCTTTATCGAAAACTATGTGGAAAGTTGGGGACGTTTGAAGACCTCGAAGATGCCAACCCGGTAGCCTTACGTGTCATGCTCATACTTTGGTATTCCAGTTTTTAGCACTTCTATGATATGCACTTCCCCGTATTTTTCACCTAACATACTGAGATTGTTGGATAGTGTGGGTCTCTCTACATTAAACTTCTAGTGAGATGAGAGCTATGTGGTTTACTGTGGTATAAGGCCGTCTTTCAGAAGGACAAACAATGTTGAATGCTTTTCAAAGCGCGGTAAGCGCTAGCACAATCGAGGCCCGCACATCAGGCGCAAAGTGTCCGTCATACTGGCTCTGGTGTGAGACTAAATGGCAAGAATGTACACTCAACGCCATGTGCCACGCATAAAACTGTCGTAAGTACGCAGGACCAATAATGGCAAGCAAGCACAAGTCACTGGCTGTGACCTTAGGAAGTCCCAGTCCAATAACAGCCTTGGCGGATTGAGGAATGATCCCTCGATAAGAGGTGATTGTTATTTGGTGGACCAAAAAGGCAACATCACAACCGATTGCACGTAGGGCTGAGATTATAGCGAGGGAATATTGATCAGCACCATACTTCTGCAACTACTACTACTATTACTTCTACCAGAATAATAAAGGAGTGAGGCACATCCGTCACATCGCCCAAGCATGAATACGTTCACTAGTCCGAAGGTGAATATTCAGGTGTGTTGAGCTTGCGCTGGTGGAGTGGTGATGGCATGCGTGCCTCGCATGTCAGATGTCCGTGGTTCGAACCCTGATGCAGTCAAGGATGCACTGCTAATGAGCTCGAGTAACGTGAAACTCAACTCCAGCACTTCCCTTCTTTGGTATGGACTCATCGGAAAAATTATGCCAGGGCAGGAGGATTACTATTCAAACGAGAGTGGTGTGAATGTGAATAATATGCGTACTTGACTGAAAGATATGGCATTCCTTAATAAAATGCTCTATTCGCGACCTTTGTTACCGTGGTCCATTAGTATTCCATCAAAATGGCTCGTTTTTCATCCTTTTATCGCATCGCGTTCACTTCATTTTATTCTCCTGCACTAACGATGCCTCCAGCTCCCGTCTGAAGCAAATTGCGTAAAAAGCACTCACCTCCCTTTAGCACATTGTTCATTTTCTATTTCTACTTTTCTTATTAACCTTTTGACTGATCCATATTTTCCCAGAGTTTAGTTCCACTTAATGGAAACTCCCTCCTCAACTGTTTGCATCCGGTGATAGTATGTTCCATGTTCCTGTTGCATAAACATCGGTCGAGATGCGCAAATTGTGAACTCTCAGGTGTTAGGCGGGTGGGGGGGTTAGGAAATCTCATTCGAGATCAATCTCGGCCGACATGCATTATGAAGATGCTTCATTTATGTTGAAAACTGTCAAATTGCATCTCATCTATATCTAAGGGCGGGGACTCCACATCCAGTAGTTGAAGGTTATATCGACTGGTCTGATCAGCAGTGTGATTGACTCGCACCTGCCACTCATCCTTCAACCATGAGACTTGCATCACCTGGTCGTGTGTTTACTGCCTCCTGAGGGGCAACTTCTCAGATATTCTCTTTAGGTGTGAGTTGATCACGTTGGCGATCAACCGCTTGTGACCTGTGAACTGTGTAAACTTCAACTATTAGCGGGGATATCGCGTGTTCGAGCCTCGCGAGAAATCTGCGAGATGCGCTTTGCTGAGGTTTTCTTGACTTTTCAGCGTAGATGGGCCTCGATTAGAGAATTAAGTCTCCAGTGAAGTCTGGATTGTACCTATAACAGGACTGATCACATGGTTGATTTAACGTTGGAATGAATTGAAATTTTGAATTTCTCGCCACACTGGTATGTTCAAGTAAAACGGACTCCGACCGTTGCGATGAACTGTCGAACCTGCTCTCTGAAGATCTTGGAATGCACTCATTTGCTCAGTAATTGGGCTCTAACGGTAGATCCACTGAATGCTAGCTTAACCTTTCGTTTGTAATATCCTTTAAATGAATATGCACAAAAGCCACCTCATATTTCAGTTGGTACGATATTCGAGATGTCGCGGTATATTTTTCCCTGGCGGGTGCAGCACCCGTGTGAATGGCTCTCATGGTCATTTGATATCCGGGTGTCGGGACAAGCTGGACTAAACATTAAGTACATCTAACGTGAAATACGGTACTAGCTGCGGCTGTTCTCCTTATGTTACGAAACATGCCTATGCCTATTAGTCCATGAAGCCTATTCCAGCGTTCTTCCCTGCCGCGTTTGCTCCCTCATTGATGACAACATTCAAATAACCATCAAGACTCCAGTCCCTCCATCTCACAATGCAATGCAAAATGTACAGTTAGAGCAGCCAAAATTCATGCTGTACTAAACATTCACTATTAGTATCAGTCATTCCTGTGCCACAGAATTTCCTTGGCACACTGACCGTTAAGGATGCAAATTTCGGTCAATGTAACAAGGTTGCCAAGGCGTTGTAAACTTCTTATCTGTTTCGATCGATCCTCTGGTAATGTTCGACGCAAGTGTTCGTATTGGGTTGATTATTCCTTCTCGTTTTCTTGTGAACCGTTGCCTCAACTTCAAGTTGAAGTAATCATTGGGTCATACTACCCTCATAGACGTAATATGCCTTCGAACTCCGCGAGTGTATGTGAGCCCTCAGTCGGATATACCGTGCGTGTAGGCGAATTGAAATCATCTCAGAGCGTGTCCTAACACTTGTCATTAACATTTTGAACTTATCCAAAAATAGCTATTAAAACAGCTTATTCTGACACACTGGAAGGTCCGCTCACCATATTCCATTGGATTTTTAGCATAATCTTCCCTGTGGCTCTTTGTAGATTTGATTCCAGAGATTATCCCTGCAACTGCATTAAGGGAGCATGCCATAATGATGGTCCGTAAGTTCTGTGTATGGAAGCTTTTTAATGGAGACTTGAATTCATTAAATACCGCAGAAATCACTCCAATTCGTCTTAGTCTTGGCGAGTTGCCTTTGGTAGGCTATAGTCGAATGGATACATCCCCTGTGAATAGCCCTTATAAGCTTTTCACTGGCTGTTTTTATTGAGTTGATAATCTCAGTGTCTAGGCGTATGTCCATACAAGTTTCAGTTCGAAACTAACCCCTGGAATCCCAGCCGCAGCAAGTTCGCTTAGGCTTCCACTTTTTATCCTTGACGTTGCTTTCGTTCTGTAGGATCTTTATTCAGGTCTGAGAGCGTTACTCGATTACACGGGGGACGACGTCGAAGAAGCTTTTGGCTGCAACTTTGTGGTTGCCTACCAGGACCCGTTTGGCAACACTTTATACCATGAGCTTAAACCAGATGGGACGAACATACATGTCACAAAAGAAAATCGTCAGGTCAGTCACGTGTTTTCCACTGCTATGAATTCGTCTTACTCCGGTTCACCACAAGATTTTTGTTTACTTCATTCTGTGGTTTGTGGTCCTCCCTATTTCTCACTCTGTCATCGTTATCATTACCTCTTAACGTTAACTCGCCTACACGAAGAACACGTTGATGTTCTGAGTCTTCGGTATCGGTTTAATAGGAGCCAACTCCTTTTCTCGGTTTGGCCAGATAATGCTGTGATGTTTGAGGCTGTTATGTTTTGTACTTTAGGAATTCGTGGACCTGTACGCCAACTTTCTGCTGAATGAATCGGTGAAAAAATCGTTCAACGCCTTTCGCCGTGGATTCCAACTGGTTGTAGACGAGAGCCCACTCAGTTTTCTTTTTCGCCCAGATGAGATCGAGCTACTAGTTTGTGGAAGTCGGGTAAGTGTCTCCGACTGTTTTGTGTGCCTTGTTGAAGGCATGAAACTACTGATTTCACGTAAGATTTTTGGTCGGACTGGCTGTTCACTCATTCAGACGGTCAAGTAACTACTAGTGATTATTCAATGTTTTTTCTGAGTAGCCATGAATCTTAGCCAAGAACCCGATAATTACCAGACTAGGAATTTCATTGTTTACAATGACGGTGTATTCAGTTCTATAACAGCGTATGCATATTTGTTTTCTCCTCATAGCGGGACTCATTAGCAGGGCATGGAAAAGTGGATATGAAAACAGTAGGGACCTGATCGACCGTTCCGATAAGCATGGATGAAGCAAACTATGGTACCGATTGGAGAATATCGACAACGTCTGTTTGGTTTTTTCTTCCGTTACATGTCTACTCTACATGTCTTCTCTACTCTGTTCGCTTGCACCTTTCAAACCATCTTTAGTCCATTATTTATACTTCCTAGCATTCTAATTCATCGCCGAAACAAATTATCTTCATCCTCGGTTGAGTTTGTGTAAGACACCACGTACGAAACACGTGGTCACGGCATAACTACTTTTCCACCATTGTATGCGTGGTTTTGGTTTTGGTGTTGTATGGTATTCACTGTTGATATATAGCATTGTTTACTTTCACTGCTTAAAAACTGATACTGCGATCAGTATGATTAGGTCATATTCTGATGTTTCCATTAGGTTGCTGTTGCAAGGGTAATCTTTTGGCCATATATATCCCGCGGATAAACTTACTTTGAAGCAATCTTATCACTGTAATTGGACTTCCATAGTGGTTAAGGATCGCAATCCATATTTTTCTGGAGGACATTTTCAACATGTCCGGCTTCCTTGATGGTTTCAGTACGCTTTTTGGTATGAAATGTGAACTTGTTTGGTTTTGCGTCTCATGAGACCATCTCACCTTTTATGTTCCTTGTCTTTTCCCAGTTTTACGACTTCAAGGAACTGGAACGAGTCACAACTTACGAAGACTACACCGTCGATTCACCTGTGATAAAGAATTTTTGGGATGTGGTACACAACATGACCACGGATCAGCAACGCCAGCTGTTGCAATTTTGCACGGGTTCTGATCGCATCCCAGTCGGAGGTATGGCCAAGATGAAATTTACTATTGCCCGTCAGGGCGCAGACACGGATAGGTAAGCATTGTTTCACTTGTAGCATATGTTTCCGAGCAACTGAAATGAGTTTTTTTTTCAAAGCACACAATTTCCTAATGGGTTTGGAAATTAATCATTTCCAGTCAAAACTCTCAGTGTCACTCGTAGGGCAATTGTCATTGGTAGTACGTGAACGTAAACTTCCCAACACCGGTTTCCAAAAGTTGTTCCATTTGAACAACTCAGCGAGAGCAGTTCGACGCCGGGACTTATCCATTTCTAGCAGTATTCTAACCCCAAACGCGGTTTGTTTTCACAGTACACATCTATATACTGGTTAGTTAGGTTCATCATTTCTTTTGGCGCTTTGCTGTTTCATGGTGTTTCTAATACTACGAGGCCTTCAGATTTCAAATATATAGAGCGATAAGTGATAAATCTGAGTTAATTCTGGAATAATTTTGTGTCACCAGGGGTCGTCGATTAAAATGCTCAGGCAGTTCGTGGTGTCTGTCGATAAAACTCACACCAAGACTTTAAGGTAACTTGAAATACACTGTCTCACTCGCGCATTTTGGGAGAGCACTCTGGTGAGGGTAAAGGAATTTCTGGTTAGTGTCGGAATCTGTCCATATGATTCTCTTTTGAACAAGCACATTTTCTCACCTGGCGTGATCATTTTCGTTAGTTCGCACCAGAGGGTGGGGTACTAGACATGAGTCTCGCTCTCATTATAGCTTGTCAGCATCGTATTATCTTGGGAATTTCGTCACGAAGACATTGGAACTTACCATGACGTGGCAGTCTGTGTGCCTCCGTCACCTACTGAGCTATCCTAGGGGATATCCATGAGACACTCGCAGGATCCTCATACAAGGTTGGACAGTGGTTAGCAATCTGACCAATACAGTCTCGTGGCTCTCCAGGTTGGGGGGGGATTGTAATTTATGTGGCGATTTGTTCTCCAAAAATGATAATGCACTTACATTTATCACCAAAGACCACTGCCTTGCGGTCAGGCTTCCGTCAATAAGCCTAATCGTCCTCTTTTCTAGGTGTGGGAGTCGTGGCAGTATCCCACCCCACATACAACCATGATTCCTCTAACTAACAATACGGTCATGCCATATCGGCCGTTGCATTGCAGTCTGGTCGCCTTTCTTTCTCCCCTCCCAACGCATAATACGCTACATTTAGGTTCACCTATCAGGACTGAGGAACCATTCGTTTTGCTTCAGTCTTGGCCGCGAAATCCGCGAGTCACTTCGCGGCGACAGCCTCAGGCACTTCGAAATCGGTCTTCAAGCTTTAACAACTGGTCTGTCTGTCTGATTTTAATTCTCACACTCTGAAGCAAGCGGGAAGTATCAGGATTGCGGTCAGGCTTCCGTCAATAAGCCTAATCGTCCTCTTTTCTAGGTGTGGGAGTCGTGGCAGTATCCCACCCCACATACAACCATGATTCCTCTAACTAACAATACGGTCATGCCATATCGGCCGTTGCATTGCAGTCTGGTCGCCTTTCTTTCTCCCCTCCCAACGCATAATACAGTACATTTAGGTTCACCTATCAGGACTGAGGAACCATTCGTTTTGCTTCAGTCTTGGCCGCGAAATCCGCGAGTCACTTCGCGGCGACAGCCTCAGGCACTTCGAAATCGGTCTTCAAGCTTTAACAACTGGTCTGTCTGTCTGATTTTAATTCTCACACTCTGAAGCAAGCGGGATAGTATCAGGAAGGTCAGATTCCTGAAAGCAACTTCAGAACACCCGGAACCTACTGCTCCACCAAAAACTCAACTGGAAAGCCGGCAAGCATCCAGGCCAATCAATCATTCAATCAATTCAGCAAGACCTGATGAGTGTTCTTGCGGCCACAGAAGCACGACCGAATTTGATCAGCGTTCGGGCATTTCATAGAGGCACGATCCATGTTGATGGGTGTTCACTAATGCCTATCAGACAGCCTGGATCAATGTCAGAAAGTCCCCTTTAAATAGCGTGGGGCCGTTGTAACTTTTACTCCCTCACTCACTCGCTTGTTCGGAATACAGCTGTTATGTTCTCTTCTGTGAGTCTTTTCTCTCCGACACTAGGCACTGGAGCGGGTCAGCAGCAGATACCACAGATTGACGAATCAGCAGATATAACAGATAGCATTCTGTTTTTCCTTGAATACTGAAATTGTGTGAAGTTCTTGTGTGCTGCGTACCAGAAACAAGAACCCAAGATTACAGCACGCCGCTTGCACCAAATGCTTCACCACGGTCCAGTCGCTTCGATCTGTGGACTGTTGGTGTCACTTGCCCATCGTCACCATATGATGGCCCGTGAATATTTGACTCGATTGTAGAAAGCGAGATTCCCGTTTTTCAAAGGCTCCGTTGACCGAATCTTTTCACTTCGTCATGTTATAGATCAATAACATACGTATGGGCTACTCACAATTTCGGTTTTCCTGGATTCACAAAGTGCATTTAACTCAGCTGACTTGTGTGTTCTTAACACAGTTGCTCAGGAGGGAATGTCCAAGAGGTGTGTCAATATTGTATGTATTCTGAGAATTCCGGGGAGCTCTTCAAAAGCCTTAAACAAAGTGAGGTTCGATGAGATTGCCGACTCCCTGTTCGTATTAACTTTCTTGACTGACGGGATAATGAGATGAACACTGAAAGCCTTTAAAACCCTGCTGTTCAAATAGATACTGACGAAAACCTTGATGCAGACAACGTCCTCCTCGTGATGTGGAGATATGGAAGCAAGTTTGCCAAATGTTTCGCTTTTCCCAATGTGCTTTGGTCACACAACAACAAAGTCAGGCTCCAGGCATGCAGTCACTTAGCACGCCACTTACCATCTAACGCGTGGCACTCGGAGTTATACATGTTACACATATATGTTCGGAGTGTCGTGTGCTTGAATCTCCAGAACTCGAGTCGCTTTGCAAATATGGGACACTTCTAGCTGCAAAGCGGCAATTCCCGGAATCTCAGAAGACCAGGCTACAGCACGGGTTGTTTTGTCCGCGAGATGTGACCTCTGCAAGCAGCGGAAGTGAGACGTACTCAAGGCAACCTTTGTCTCAGAACCATGGCTCGTTCAGGCTTGTGCCAGCGAATCTGCAGCGGGCCAGTGGGAAGATGGATGCTCGGTTGTGCAACAAGTTTTTGGTGTTGTTATTATTATTGCAATAAGTTGTGCAACTCCATTCGAAGAATGTGTCCAGACCTGGAAGCTGCGGTGTTTTGATCATGTTGTTTCGTCTTTTGCCGGAGAGAGTGGCTTTTCCGTGGGCGAATTCGAATGATCCAATTGGATCAGTGGTCAGCTTTTGATCTGGTATGGGGATGCAAAAGTGTTTACAAAGAGTCTGGATACTATCTAGGTGACTCACCTTCCCGGACGGAGGCCATATGCTTCGTTGGAGACGCTACAACATATGGTTACTGATGGATGTCATTGGCGTTGCGGTTAACAGTTTTTGTTCATAGTGTCTGAATGGGTCTCCGGAGGCACAGGCGATTAGGAACGATTATGGTAAAGTCCCCCTATGTCCCGTGGCTATCCTTTTTTCATCGTTTTCTTAACAATAGGGCTTCCAACGAATTTATGGTTGTACAACATCGAAGCGTCAGTATCGAACGCATCTATTGTGCTGTTGATCACGATCACCTTGGGAGGTACCGTGATTCGAACTTTTTCCAACTGAATTGTCCTTTTAGCATATCACCGCAACTTCTCTAATAGGGCTAATCTTACTGGAGAGCAACCATTACCAGAGTTAAGCCTTGTATATGTAGTTAGCTTATTGTGCACTGTTTATGAAGTCTAATAGGAGCTTAACGCACCGGCATCGATCTCTACTTCGCTATAGAGTATTTCGTGTTATTACTTATTGTCACGTATTGTAATTCGAATCAGTTAATTATTCACTTACATATTTGTTTTCTCCCTTTCATGTTATTTTTCAGGCTGCCCACTGCTCACACCTGTTTCAACATCCTTCTTCTTCCTGACTACCCTTCTCGCGAAGAGTTGGAACGCATGTTACTTTTGGCTATTACTCACTGCAAAGGATTCGGCGTTTCTTAGCTGCTGCCTAACTGCAATCGATCTACGCCAGATTGCCTCAATTACCCCCACATCCCCCTTCCGCAGCAGGGCTTGTAAATACAAGTTGTCGTTCGACTGTTGATCGATTTGAGCGACTTGCAACGGTAGAACTCGGCTTAAAAGTTTTTTTCTCGGGTTCATACCGAGGGCCTTGCTTGTTTTCGATCTCCAACCCTTCACACCGTTGCTGTCGTCGTCTTGCGCGTGCTCGGCCATGCGTGTTTCACTTCGCTTCCCTCGATTCGTTCCTGTGTTATTACTGGTTCACAAACAATGAGTAAACGCCTCACTAGATTTGTCGTTGCTTGCCGCCTCTTCAGGCTCTAGTTGTAATTCTATGAGGAGGACCCTATATAGTGTATCGTTTGTTGAAACCACAAATAGAACACGTGAGCCGATGCACCAGGATGCTTTTGTTATTGTTATTTCCCCTCGCTTGTCTGTCTGCGTTTCAGGGGGCCGTTATAGTCATCTGTTTCTTCAGGTGATTTCGCTCGCTGTATCGAGGCCGACGAGGAAAGTAGAAAATGTGAGCATCTCGCAGTCGGTGCCTTGTTGTCATTCTCTCATTCCACCTACGGGTAACGACACGCTTGACTTTGTCGGAAAGAGAGTGGGCTGGTGGACTTTTGGCTTGTTCGTTAGATCTGTTGAGTAACAAACATTTAAATCATAAGGATTTTGCGATCTTCAACGGTTCGTCAAGCTTTCCCTTTCAATCCTTGCTTGTGCTTTGAAGTGCTCGAATGAAACATCGCTTGAATTTCAAGAGGGGCTTTTTGGCTGAATCCCTTATCTACTTTTACACCACACCGGTGACATATCATGGTGCACTAAGTAGAGTGTTTTTGAGGCCGCCCGTCTTCCAGATGTTGTTTGGCTCTCAGTATTGATACACTGGTCAGTTCTTGCCTCCATGTGTAGAACTGGGCATCGTACTTCGTCCCACGGTTGTATTTACAGTCACACTAGTGACTATGTGTTATGTCTTGATGTACGGTAATGCAACTCTGTATCGGTCCCTTGGCTTCCTTGCTCCGCCCACTATGGTGTATCAAAAGGCACGGTAGCTCTACACAGCCCTTTATGGGGCAATTCAAGAAACATGCGAAGTTATGACGCGGTCACACGGTAACTATGTGTGCCCGTATTACGGCACATGACCTCTCTACTCAGATAATCGTTCACAATAGGGTGTCAAAGTACGTGATTGCATTTGCCTTCTTATTTGATAATTATTCATTTGTTGGTAAGTAACCGGTGGTTCCGGATGTTTTGAGCAAATCAGAGTGCTGTAGTTTACAGAAATACGGATGGGAAACGATTACACCTATAATTGTGTTACCAAGTTGAAGGCTTCTAAGAATATTTTTAAGAGAATTAGGTAGAAGGTGGGAGGATGTTTTCGATAGGGGTCATCGAAGTGATGATGCCCAGCACCCGGTATAAGGACCATCGGCCGAAGTGCATGCACCGATCCATATTTGCGACCTATCTGGTTATCTGCTGAGTCAGCCGGGCCCAGCATTTCTCTGCAACCTTGCGCCTTGGTATACTGTAATGCTTGTGGAAGATCTACTTTTACTAAAATCGACTATTATTTCGTAGTAGGCAATGGTGTGAGTCGATATTTGGAATGTTGATGGTGTTGGTCTTTCCCGAGTAATTACTTCTCCACAACTGGGATGATGAGTGTACGTGAATTGTTTGGCCAACAAACGTTCGTACTCTAGGGGGTATGCTGGCTAGGGTGCCAACTTTCGACTAGAAAACTTCTGTCTAGCCTTGGGCTGATAATGCAGGAGCCCTTTTGTTTTATGGTAGTTAGTCGCTCAAGGAACATCGGACATCACATGTTTGATTCGCTTTGTTACTTGAAAGAATATCATAAGCGAGAGATTCAAGTGAGTTCTCTGTGAAAACCAAATTGGTATGAAAACGAGTATATTCGGCGGAATTCGCCTGACTTTTTTGTACCAGTCAAGATGCCATAAAACTGATCGTGGTACTTTTGTGAAAACTTACTAGGAAACAACCATGAATATCTCTAGTCCTCCAAGCTCTCCACTGACGGTAACCCACACTACTATCCTCAGTAACTCCCAGACAATGCTGATGATTGTTTACATAATGTGAAACGATGTTTCCTGATAGTCTTAGTAAGCAATCGATGAATTTATTGCTTGTTTACGAAACCTTTCCGATGTGAATACACAAATTACCAAAGGCGTTGCTTCCGATAGACATGGTTGTATGGTACGCTTAACATAGTTTTCGCGCTTCTGTCCGCCAGACACCATCACACCAAGTCAGTCGACCAGACTAAACAGTTCTTCTCACGCGTAGAATTTTTAGGACACCAAGTTTATGGAATGGTACTATCGCGCTGGTCCTCCGTCAACTGACAAACCAGTCCTTTCCCCGATATTTCCCCCGTACTGTACAGTGTTCAAAAAGACCCGGACTATGCAAGAACACGTTTCATCTTCAACTTCTGTCCTGTGAGTTCACAGCAAAGAAGGAAGCATTGGATTTGAGTTTCGCCTGAGCGTGAACACGCTCACATATTCAGACGTAAAAACGAATGCGCTCAGCGTGCGCTGGCGGAGTATTGTAACACACACGCCTCGCATATCAGATGTCTGTAGTTCAAACCCTGGTGCGGACAAGGATGTGCACTACTTATGAACTCTAATGGGGGCGAAACTAGAGTCCAGTGCTTCCTTGCTTTAGTGTGAACTCACCAGAACGATTGCACCAGGCCAGGAAGACGACTGCTCAAACGAGTGATGTGGACGTGGATTCTCCAGCTCCCTCAACCGCTAACAACTAATATCATAGTTGCATTAAGCTTACACGATTGTTCTGGGGCGTTAATTGCTAATCGGTTGCAGCGATGTAATGTGGGACGTTCTCTACAACTAGCAGCATCAGCTAAATGGTGTTCGCTTGCGATGCTCGCTTAATCCCCTCTCCTGTCTAGCTGCCTTATGATCAAAACCCTTGTCATCATCATGATCATTGACAGCGTGACATCATTGTTCAACACTGATGTTTCGCTACTGTACAAAATCCAGGTGCCTTTTGAACACTGGAAACTGACTTCTTGTCTGTTTGCACCATATGCATCTCCTCACAGGATTATTTGGGTCATCTTTTTGCTTCATTCGCCATAGACTAAAATCCATAAGCTATGGGATGATTGGGGTGAACACCAAGATTATTTTGCCCAGAAATGGCAAGGGAACATGTATTTAAGCTTATAACCCTCGTTTCAAATGTAGAAATGCTGTATGTCGGCGTTCCTTCGCAGCGATATCCTCGCCGAACATACTGTTCCAAGTGGCTATGGAAAATGAACATCTTGGTAATAAAATGTGTTCCGCCAGCACATGTGGTTACGTGCTAGTTCTCTTTTATGTCGTCGAGTTCATCCCTCTTTAATTAAGGCACATGACGAAGATCAATGGTTTTGAAAAATAGTGCTCATGGAGGTAGTATTGACCAACAACAGCCTGTAGTAAACCAGGGGGCAGTCGCACTGCTCTACGGAAATGCTGATGCTTGCATATGGCTGGGCGTGTCACGCGAAAGCTACAGGTCAGCTTAGACTCAGGTGACACGAAAACCACATTACTGATCACGTGTCTTTCTCAGTGAACGCAACCCAACTCAGCGGATGACGATAACGACCTTCAATGTGGGACGTATGACGAACACATTCGTGATCTTTGGATTGTCTCAAGCGGCTGAATATACCCGTGGTAGTCATGAGGACGAAGAAGGTAGCTAACAAAGCTTGTTTTCTGTGATTGCTCCTCCTGGCTAATACAACACATTTGTATGGTACCAGAAATCACGTGGAAAAGGTTAAGATTGGGGCTACATACACTTTAGAGAAATAGAAATCAAAGGAAGGGGGGATAGGTCAATGGATCACGGAATCAGGAAAGAGACGTCAATGTCAGACAGACTTGTGGAACCGGATGTTTCGTAGGTAAGTTCAAGTTCAGAGGCCGCACAAGTTTCTTTTGGATGCAAATTTGAGGATCCAGCAGTCGGATTGTATGCTCGTGCCGAGCATCATACGTTGGTCGTACGACAAGGCATTTGTCGGGTAGAATGCGTGAATACAATTCCGTATCTCTGAGTGGTAGTGCGAAGAAACCAGGCTCAAGCGCGATGGCATCACATTTGGCCGAAACCAGTCATGTCGTAGACAAGGAGCAAGCCTTCACAATCATATAGCGGGTACATCTGAACCGATCACGACTGTTACTATCCAGACTACTATCGGTCATAGAGGCGATTGGAATCCGTCTGCTCGATCCTCGAATTTGCATCCAAAAGAAACTTGTGCGGCCTCTGAACTTGAACTTGCCTACGAAACATCCGGTTCCACAAGTCTGTATGACATTGAAGTCTCTTACCTGATTCCGTGATCCATTGACCTATCCCCCCTTCCTTTGATTTCTATTTCTCTAAAGTGTATGTAGCCCCGATCTTAACCTTTTCCACATGATTTCTGGTACCATATGAATTTGTGATGTATTAACCAAGAGTAGCAATCACAGAAAAGCTTTGTTAGCTACCTTCGTTCTCATGACATTTGTGATCATGATCGACCTAAAGGTCAACTATTCACTCCAACTTTCTGTAACGACGCTGCATATCATGGTGCGCTCGATTGGCGTAGCATTTCTTGGAGCATTTTGGGCCACGGGCTCATGAACTGGCTGTATGAATAACTAAGTATTTGATATCATTTTTGATCGCACGGTTTCCCGTGTTAAAGTCCTTGTTGAAAGTTTCTGATTTGGGACAGGTATTTGAGTAGAGTATAACTTTTCTTTATCGCATTATCACACTTTTATGAATTAAACTGGATCGACACTCAAAAGCCCATAAGAACAGCGCTTGAAAAAGCGCAACATAGAGTCCGAGTAATTAGAGGGGAAGCGGATCAGTGGAATTATTTGGGTCACATGTTGACCAAAGATCACTGAGGATGTTCGATTGCGCTGGTTCTGTCTTAACCTGATACCTGTTCCAGGTTAAACGCAGCATCTGAGCAAAATGTTTGCACACAAACCTCTGGTCGATCGATGCGAACGGCTGCAATCTCTGCCCTATTAACTTCCAATTTGTTTTAAGCCTTGATAATTTTAAGCTCATCTCGTTGGTCACTGTAAAAGCAGTGGCAGGGCCCACTTTGCGACTTGTTCATTTCCGGTAAGCTGGAAGTGGATTGTTTATGCATCACACGAAACTTGTTATTGAAGAAAGAATAAGCACAGACATTAGTCGAGACAGTTATCTGATCGTCGCGCCAATTCCACGCAAGCATTCAGGCTGCCAGTCAGGCATCGAACTAGCCTAATAAGTTGGACGAGTTCTGAACCATTGTCTTGAAATAGAGCAGTTGGTGGA